AAAAAAAAAAAAAAAAATTTCCTTCTCGCGGGTCAAAGCGCGAAGCGCGCATCTTACAATATATTGACGCTCTCTCTCTCTCGTCGTTAATCTATAAGTCACGAGTTCCCTTCCTCTTTCTCATTCCCGCGCCACATAATATCGTGCGGAGGGAAAAAAAAAAGGCTCGTCCGAGATCAACTCGCCGCGCGTATATTACACGCTGATAACGACACGAGTGTGGCCCACCGTACTCGCAATAATACAAGCCTGATGAATGTTTTTCGGTGTGTTGTATACTTTGTAACCCTCACAACTAAAAAATACCACAATGTGCGTGAACAAATACTTCGTCGTGGATTCTCATTATATCACGTATATATATACACATTGGCTTAAATAATGTGATAACTTTCTTTCTAAAAATAATTTTGAAAAAAAAAAAAAAGGTCTCGTGTCATTTTATCGGGCATGGTGTAATCGTGAAATACCCGCGATTATGAGAGAAACAACGTGCAAGTGTTTCATTCGCTCGTAACGTTTCTTCCTTTTTCTTCGAGTATATATACCTATATACGCGCCGATAAGTGGGTTATCGGGAGCCAAGGTCACGTATAGACACTTGTGAGCAAAGAGAGGCTTTGAGCATTAATTACAAAAATGTGGTGGATTTACCAGCAGCAACGCAGATTATCTCGTATAGTATCGATGGAAAAATCAATGTCAGAGGCTGCTGCTGTGCTCACGACTATGGCCGCTGTATCGAGTATTTTGCACTTTTAATTTGACGTATACATGTATACATGCAATATAAATGTCTGACGCGTTTAATGATGTTTCAAATCTTCTTAAAGCATCGCATTAATTTGTGTACCATTTTTATTGCAATGCAACCTAACAATTGATAAAAAGTCACTAGTTCACATTGTCACGTTGAAGTAAATGTGTTTATCGGCGTGATGAAACATCGAACCTTCCTTACTCGGACCTTTGTATTAAATATTTGAGTATATACCGCTGAAAAAAAAAACAGCCGATTTTTTTTCAATGTTTGGTGGAACTTTGTTCCTGAAATTTCAGCCCAAAAAGCGGGAGGGAAGGAAAAAAAAGTCACGACACACGGCGTTCCCCATATATATACATGAAAGCGCATGCACGTATGTAATGGGATGGAGATGAAGCGACTGGATGACAAGATAGAAAACGTTGGTGCGAAAGGAGAGGAGGGAGAGAGTGTCCCATTAGAGCCGCTCTGGCGCTGCGATTTCTCAGTGTCGTGTCGGTCTGATGCACTTGCGTGGTTGCGGTGTGAAGGAGCCGATCTAGCCCCATCATATATATATATATATATATATATATATACGTGTACTCGCGAAAGAGATCCGATCGGTATGGTGTTGACGACGTGTATTACGGAGTCCGCGGGCTGAGCCGCTCTTGTCGTCGCATCGTTGGGTGTAAATGCGTATTGGTGCAGTGGCGTCGTCGCGGAATGCACTGCGTATAATATCTCTTGTCTCCTTTTTTGAACGAACGCTCAGGATTTGCGAAACGCAATTATTTTTTTTTTTTTTTTTTTTCTTTTCATACTTACCGTGAGCCGTGTGTCTTTAAATTTATAAATTATACAGTGTAACTATAGTAACAATCTATTCTCGTGGAAAAAAAAAAAAAATCATAATACGAGTCAATGTACCTATTGTTAAGCAACGTGAAATTTTATGTGCATCAGCTAGAATCTATTGCATCCTATGTTTGCTTTCAAATCAACGAAAATTTCGATCTATTACAAAATATTTATTTCAATTTTATCGAAAGAAGTTAAAAAAATAGTTTCAATCAGGGGGTCATAAAAGTCAACAAAAAATCAGAAATGGTTAAATTTTTTGGTTTGTTTTTATCAAAAAGTACAATCACCAAATGTAAAAGCTACGAGAATTGGATAGCCCGTAAAAAAAAAAAAAAAAAAAAAAAGGAAAGAGCAATATAAAAGTACTACACGGCATATACAGGAATCAAATAAATAATTGCTTTACAATGTAACATTTAATAGATTTAATTTGTTTTGTTAAAAAAAATATTTTATTGTTTGTATTCGTATGAACGTTTATTTTGATTGGCAAAATTACTCTTAAGTGTTCAAATGATGTGGATTACTAATATTATCTGTATTNAACCATAAAGTGTCTTTAATTTGCAGTGGCAGACGTAATAGTATATTGTATTTTTTTTTTTTCTTTCTCGGCATATATAATATTGATATAAAACACGTCGTTAGCCCCTCAAAAACATCAAACAGCGAAGAACGAACAAACACTACTCATCCCTCTCTCTCTCTCTTACTTGATTGATTTACGACGTGTTTGTTTAAACAAAACACCACCGATGCGCGTACAATCATATCACCGATGAAACCCACCTATACACAACAACGACCCTTCATCTCGACTCGCGCTACACACGGAAAAGCAGAATCGCCCAAATCGGCGCTTATTACTTGCATATAAGTATATGCTTGGCAAACGAGGCGCGACGGCGAGCGAAAAAAAAAAAAAAAAATGCCCGCACATGATCCCGAGATGTAGGCGCTTGGCACTCTCTTTCTCTCGCTCGTATATAGGTATTATCTCTCTCTCTCCCTTTCATATATAGGTATATGTACGCGTATTAGTCGGGAGCCGCGCTCGTCGGAGAGAGTTACATTAGGGTGTTTAGTGCGCGGGTGAGTTACTGCGTCGCTAATCCTGGAGACGCTCGCTGATTTATCGCCCCGGCGACGACGCGTTACTTTCTTTCTTTCGTTCTCTCGCTCGTGCGTGAGTTTCTTTCTTTTTTTTTTTCTTTTTTTTTTTTTTTTTTTTTAAGCATAAATTCCGCGAAAATAGAGAGGCGAGACGATTATAATTACAATATCGCGTCTGGGAGTCGACTGCGCGATCCAGAGGCTTATACGCGAGCAACAAGTGCTCTATTTGCCGGATGATTTGTCTCTTTGCCCGCGGCCACGAGTGTCTCTCTCTTGTGCTTTTTCGGGAAGTATACCTACCGGGTTTTTTTTTTTTGCTTGCGACTAGCGAAATGACGTTTACACGGCTCGGCTGGATAATATTGATGGCCCGGGATATGCGCACCGCTGTTTTGTTACACGCTGTGTGTTTTAAATTAAATTTCCGAATGATAAATATATATATACCCTATGAGAAGTTTTTGTCAATTTTCTTTTTTTTTTTTCAGTTATTTTTTGTGTCAGTGTACATATGGTTTCTTGTATGTGACCATACTAATGTATATGTGTATTACCCGAAAACTACAATCGCATTGCATTTTTAATTGCAACTTTGTGAGACTAGACGCAAGCGTTGGATAAAATACATGCATAAACATCGCTTTGCGTTCGCAATGTAATCTCGAGCTTGGGAACGAGATTTTTATCGCGTGTAATAATACATTTATCAATTAATTGTTTCAAAGGTCACGAGTTACTCCAAAAACAATCATTGTGTTGTCTGATGGCAATTTTCAAAACACTCTTCAAATTAGATCTAATCAAATCTAATCACACTTTATCCCGCTATAGCGAGGAAAAAAAAAATTACACGTACTCTTACGGTTGTATGAAACGCAAGATCTATATGCCCATGTAATACATAATAGGTACGCAGACCCTTTAATTTTTTTTTTGTTTTTTTTTTTGTTTTGTGTCGATAAGCCAAAGTGAGAGAGTGTGTACGTGAAATCGAGACAGGCGCAGCAAGGAAATCAAAGCCGGTACATTAAACAAAGCTCCGCGGGCTATATCCGGTGAAATTTCAAGAGTTACTCACGCACACGAGCTTCCTTCCCGTATTACGCTGCTCTGATTCTCTCTTTTGTGTGCACGTACAACACACACACACACACACACACACACACACACACACACACACACACACATGTAGCACGAGAGAGTCGTAAAGTAGAGCTTTCGATGGTAGATATTCGGCAGAGCGTACATATATGTATATATATATACTTACGTGTACATGTGCCAGGGAAAGAGCTCTGGACCTTTGGGTATATACATATATATTTATACACGCGAGTCTCGGATTACCGAGTTGGCGAATTATTATACGGCCGAGTTCCCTTGCTCTGCTGCTGCTGCTATGGGTCCTTTTTTTTTCTCTCCGGCGCACTGGACCCCCTTTACACATACAGAGGTATTTGCTTGTTTATTATTTTCCCTTTGGACGCGCGCGTGCCTAATTACCCAAACGCCGGGGATGTATATTATATACATGCGTGTATACGTTAATTTGACAAAAATAAAAGGATTTTGGAAACTTGATTTTTTTTTTTTTTATTTATCTCTTTTTTTATTTCTATCTATCTGAACAATTATCTCTGTATAAAGTACAACTTTTTTTCGTTCCTCCTCTCGAGCCATCGATGCTCAAATTAAAAGGGCACACATGCATATACATACAGGGTATATCAATGTCGTTTGGCACTCGATACGTGCATGCTCCTTTGTGTGTGTGTGTATATATGTATGCGTAATGGCTCGGCTAATTGCGTCGGCGGCGAAAGGGCCGTAAACCCTATACTCCGAACATGATCTCTCTCTCCGCTCTCCGTGCATGCTGCGATTATATTAGCCCTCCTGTATTACTTACGTAATATATCTACACACTCGGTTAATTGCTATTACTATACACGCACGTGTGTTACGATATAGCCTGCATGGCGGCAGAGCGGAAAATTGACGTAATAAAGGTATCATATATATTATTGCAGCCCCACGTGTATAACATATATGCGACAATACCGTGCCCGCCCTCTGTTAACTTTTTTCCTCTTAATATTAAGTACCTCTCTTTTGGTGTATAGTCGATCGTTCTATGTACAGTGGACAAGGCAGTATTTGATTTTTTTTTTCCCCTATTCGATGTTGGATGATAAAATAATAATCAGAAACCTCTTATATTATATATACACTTCTGATGTGACATTTTACACATAGTCATCTTAGCTCCTTACCAATATAACTTCGTTGCATAATACATCCAAGCGATTGATTAGAATTATGCTAATAAATTTTTCTAATGTCATATCTGTTCAAGCTCCATGTGTAGGTATACCCTGTTCTGATCGTTCTTACATTGTATTAAATATACGTATAGTTGTCTGCGATATAATATTGGACAATTTTTATTTACCTGTAAATTCGCGCACGAGCATGAACTCGCGATGAATAATTTCAGAGCGTCAGAAGCAAACGGCACGTTATCCAATTCCAATATAAGTATACCTACCTACACGTGTTACATGTAACAACATACAGCAGAAGCCATCCTCTGCAACTGGAGACTATACGGTAATCGCGACGCGTGTAAAACGTGACACTCCGATACACGCGGACTTGAATCTTTTTTCTTTCCTCTTCTAAACTTTTGTACCGAGCTCCAGTATATGGGTATACTTTCACCTCTCTCTGGTAGACTGCACGCACGCAGGGATCGTCTGACGTGAGTCTCTGTTCTTTTTTTTTTTTTTTTTTTTTTTTTTTTTTTTTTTTTTATATGTACGTAACAAATAAAAAACCAGCTCTTGTATACACAAAGTCCACAGAGAGAGAAAGAGATGTATGTATACATACGTAAACCGCAAAGCTCTTTCGCAACGACGCGCACGCACTCATCCCCGAATATACTCGGTGTAATCCCCGAGGGATGGGGAGAGCTTTCCAAAAAAGCGAGACCTCGGTCCCTCCAACAAGAAACACACGCGCTAATGCCCCTCGAGAAGAGAGTGCATATTCTAATAATACAAGGGGAGAAGGGGGGGGGGAGGAGGTGAAAGAGATATAAAACGGAGCGACACTTTGGGAGGTGGAGGAGGGCCGAAACAAATGAGCGAGGCGTGCGCGTATAACACCGCGCGTTTAGCTTTGATATACTGCCCCCGGGACTCTTGCTGCTGCTCTCCCTGATCTCTCCTCGAGGCGTTTAGTCACACGCGTTTTTGTACCACATTACCTATACCTCTCTCTCCCTCTTTGCTTTCGATTCTTTCTCGTATTTATTATCATTACTTTGCACACTATTGGGGACCTATTAATTGACATTTTCTTCTTTTTTTTGCACCGTTCAGCGATGGCGTTTGCGAATTATTACCGATAACCGCACATCGTCGAGGTTTTTGTTTCCTCACAGCATATTTTAATCGCATTCAAACCCGAAATTCATATCGTCGAGGTACATAATAATACATGGATACTTTTGTACTCCTGTTGTTGTTGTTTACTCTGTTTTGGCAAAATATTTATTATTTACACCGGGAAAACACGTGAAAAAAAAAAACCCTCAACCTTTGTACATCCCGCCCGAAATTCATGATTATTGTGTGCGAATAAACAGTTGATTAATTGATAATGGAAGCTGCACTTCCCGGCAACTCTCGGCAATGTATATATTTATCGCTCTCATCACTTCTTTCTCGCATATGTCCGTTTGACTGGGCCAACTTTTAAACAACAAACCACGTGCACGGTAATTAACAACGTAAACACGGAATACCTCCACTGGATTATTGACATTTTTTTTTCTTCTTCTTCAATCGATTAAGTTAATACACAAGTAAAAGATAAAACTTTTGATGTGAGAAAGGGGAAAAAATAAACAATTAACTATTACACCGGTGCAGTCGTGTAATTTTTTTTAGCATGGAATAATCATCAATCAACAAGGTCTCCGTTGACCACCAGCTTGACCTCAAGTTCAAGTTATATTGCTGGGGTGTCAACTTGTAAATACATATATATATATA